CTGGGGAGACATGCTGCGTCAGGCCGAAACTCGGTAACGGGTTGTTATGGCCACATAAGTAAGTAAGTAAGTAATATACTTTTGCGGTATACCAAGTTTTTTAGATAGTAATCAATGTATTTTCTGTTGAGCTTATCGAAGGCTTGTTTAAAGTTTATAAATAAACAATGTATGTCAATGTTGAACTCATAACACTTCTCGAAAATCTGTGACATAACGAAGTATTGGTCTGTTGTTCAGCGACCGGTTCTAAAACCACATTGATAATCTCCCAGTATTTCTTCTGCGTACATGTTTAGTTTTTCATATAATATGTTCGAAAATATTTTATAGCAAACATTAGGAAGAGATATATCTCTGCAGTTAGCACAGCTGATTTTATCGCCTTTTTTATAGATAGAAACTATTTGAAGTATTAATTCATGTATCAGCTTGTGAAGCTCTTCTCCGGCGTATTTGATCAGTTCAGCGTTTATAGAATCTTCTCCACTCGACTTAAAGTTTTTTAACTTCTCTATTGCTCGTTTCGTGTCCTCAAATATAGGTTCCTCTAGCATATTTTCTATTGTCCATACGGTATCACTAGGAGCTTCGACTTCATTGCTATTCAGCAGATCGCTGAAATGGTTTTTCCAAATATTTAAAACTTCTTTTCTATCACTGATCAATTCACCATTTTATTTTTACAAGCTGTCAAGTGCGGTTGGAATATGCGCGTATGTTTTCGTATTCTGCGGCACATTGATCTTGTTTGATTTGTTTGAAAAACTTTTTTCTTTTTTCGTATTTTTTTTTTGGCTTCTTTTCTTTTTTCTTGATATTTAAACAAATTCTGTCGGGTGCCATTTTCAATATGTATTTTTCTAGCATCGTTTTTTGCTTTGATAATCTCTCTGCATTCTGAATCAAACCATTCATTGGTGGAGTGAGTTTTTTGGCCAATAGTTTTGTTTGCAGCGCTAAGTACGGTCGGTTTAATGCCCTGCCAGCTTATTGTCACGTCTGATTCTCTTATCGTTTCATTAGTTTCTTCTAGTTTGTTCACAATTTTTTCTTGGTAAGCGGCTCTTGCAGATTCATTTGTTATGGTGGCCTTGACGTTCTAATGTTTCTTGTTGTATTCATTTTTTGCGATTTTAGCCAATATCCTTTGACGAATACACGCTACAGCAATATAGTGATCTGAGTCACATTTTGCACCCCGGTAAGATCGTACGTCAATAACTGAAGACATATTTCTCTTATCTACTATTATGTGATTAATTTGATTGGGATCATTTTGTCCTGGTATTCTCCAGGTTTCCTTATGTCTACGCTTGTGCTGAAAGGATGTACTACTTATAAGTAGTCCTTGAGTTACATAAACATAAACATTCTTTATCTATAAATATAATTATTTTTTGCTTGATTTACTTGAACTAATACAATTCAATTATTATACAATAATAAAACAATATTTTGTATAAATTATTTTTTATATAAATAAGATAATGTTAATATATTTCTGTTCTTTTTATAGGTTACGTTACATGCTCAAAATGGCCTTAGCCGTCTCCTTACGGCGTGCTCTTCTAATGCTTCTGTCAGTAACTGTTTTTATACTTATGGTTTTATATTGGAACCAAGACGTTATAAAACCGCAAACTTTTTCAAACATCTTAGAGAAATCAATGAGAACTCATGTTGACTTTCATGAATTTCCTTTGTAAGTATTGGACTTAAAAAACTAAATAATTAAAAATAAAACTAAATTTTAATTTTGGTATTATCAATAACTTCTATTCGAAATATAATTATAGGTTTAGTAAAAAGAAATCCATTATTTTTGCATATATTGAAGGCTTATTTACTGTGGTTAAAATAATCTGATTTAGTTCAAATATGCGCTGCTTTGTTCCATAACTTGTTGTCATTTTGAAGGTAATTTCATTACGCCTCTCTAGTATAAGTCCTCGTCCCTATAGACAAAAAATTGAGAGCGTCGATTTTCACAAGCCTGTCTAGAAACGTATTTTTCATCAGAAAAATTATCTATCGTTCGCCATGGGCACGAACAGATGGTAATCACTTGGTGTCAGGTTTGGATTATAAAGTGGATTCATAAGAACTTCCCAACCAAGCTCCTGAAACTTTTGACGAGTCATAATCGATGTATGTAGCTTGGCGTTATCCTAATTGTACACAATTCCTTTCCTATTGTCCAAATCTGGCCTCTCTGTCCGTCAATCTTGACTTGGCCACTGTTTCAACCGACTCACCGCGATTCGATCACGAACGTTTTTGCTTGACGTTGTCATAAGTGATCAAGTTTTTATCACGAGTCCCCAAACGCTTCAAGAGACTTTTTTCAGTTTGTCTGTCAAAGTTTCCTTACTAGATTAATCTTCTAAAATTTCTTCATTTACTTTTTTATTCTATTAAACATAAAACTGATTGATATCTACACTATGGCTCACCCCTACTTAATGAGTGTTATGTTGAGTATTAATTTTAGTTTCAGCATTGCACATGTGTTAGCATTAATTGCTGGTAATGGTGCATATTTAGTAGTAAAATGTTAACTAGTTCTGTATGTTATCATTACTTCTTCATTATTTTATTACTTTATAACTAAGAATTTTGTATACTCTAATACTTAAATAAATGATTTCATTTCTTTACTCCTCGGACTATAACCAATTTGAGTTGTTACATATTTCTCATTTTATTATCTAAATATATAGACTATGATCTAAGGTCTTAGACACTAAATTCGGTACAGACTAATAATTTCCAGTAGAACATGTATAAATTTTAATATTACTTAAACTCTCTTCTTTGCCATAAAACATATTCAATACCAGTTTAATCATATTTATTATTATTGCTTCCATATTATTGACATTCGGTGCCTCATATTATTTGTATGAAACACGCAATGAAGAGTGTTTGAACTTGTGGTTCAATGTAATATTATTTTATATACAAGTTTTTAATTCCATTGTGGTTCTTTGTTTTTTCTCTTCATAATATTATTTTTAATAATAATGAATTCTTCGGTTATAATACAATAATATTATTTTCTTTTTACCTACATTTAGACCAACAGAAAAAATGTGGACATACAAATGTGAAGGGGACAGATGTGTGCGTTACCATTACTTCACAGTTGGAAATGGAGAAAAGCGTGTTCCATTTACAACATGTGCAATGACTTGTAGCGATATTAACATATGGCCACATCCAACAATTAAAACTGGAATTAGTTCAAAATCATTAAAATTCTCAGTTGAGGTTGTAAGACTGCATCTGGACACGCCATTTGTTGGTGTGCAAAATCTCTTCAGAGAAGTGTTTGCATTATTTTTAAAAGACTTACGACATATTCAGAGACTGGAATATCAAGATTCCGACACAACAACAAGCGATGATGATCCTAACGTTGTTGCACAGCGACATAGGCGGCATCAATTCGACATGGACAGAGTTCTAATGAAGAAAACAGCTGAAAATATAGCCACTGCCGCTATTCTCTCAAATGCGTTTAACTTACGAAAACACTGTGATATTGATGACCTAAAGATAAACGTATCTATACGTAAATTTCCAGATATTAATTTAAATTTTGAAACTGATGAGAGCTATCAGCTTCACACAAGTTGTAAGTAAATAATTATATATTTCGTATATATCTATGATATCTTCTAATATTCTTGTTTTCATGGAATTTAGTGGAAAAACGTCAATTGAATGTGCACATCACTGCCAATTCATTTTTTGGTGCACGTCACGGACTTTCTAGTTTACAACAGCTTATATGGTATGACGATGAAGATGACCTCCTTCGTATACTTTCCAAAGCTATAATTATAGATGCACCTAAATTTCGTTATCGTGGTCTGATGTTAGATACTTCACGTCATTTCTTTAGCATAGATGCTATAAAACGAACTATAATAGGCATGTCCCACTCAAAACTGAATCGTTTTCACTGGCATATGACAGATTCACAAAGCTTTCCATATATTTCTAAACATTATCCGGAACTAGCAGCAAATGGTGCATATTCAGATCTTGAAACCTACACAGATGATGATATACGAGAAGTTACCGCTTTTGCTAGATTACATGGTGTGCAAATAATACCCGAAATCGATGCACCAGCTCATGCTGGCAATGGTTGGGATTGGGGTCCAAAACGTGGTCTTGGTGATTTAAGTTTATGTATAAATCAACAACCTTGGAGTTTTTATTGCGGTGAACCACCATGTGGGCAACTTAATCCAAAAAACAACAATACATATCTCGTATTACAACGTCTTTACGAGGAATTACTTAACTTAACTGGACCAACAGATTATTTTCATTTGGGTGGTGATGAAGTGAATTTAGAATGTTGGAGTCAGTATTTCAACGATACTGATCTGCGAGGTCTTTGGTGTGATTTCATGTTAAATGCGATGACCAGGTAATAGAATTTATAATATATATTTTTTTTTTAATTAGTTTCGGTTTATTTTCTTAGATTAAAAATTGCTAACAATAACGTTGAACCGAAAATTGTAACGGTATGGTCAAGCGGTCTCACAAATACTAAATGCTTACCAAAAAGACAATTTGCTGTACAAGTATGGGGCGGCAGCACGTGGCAAGAAAATTATGACCTACTTGACAATGGCTTCAATGTTATATTCTCACATGTCGATGCTTGGTATTTAGACTGCGGTTTCGGCAACTGGCGTTCAACAGGTAAATGGTGGTGGTAAAAGTAAATTTAATTTTAACTCAAAAACTATCAAAAATTCGAACAAATTAATTTTAGGAAAAATATTAGAATTTAGGAACATTAGCTACAAATTTTTATATTAACTATTTTATAATATTTAAAATTTTTATTTTTAATAAGTTGAATTTCAAATTTATAATAATATTACTTATATTTGTAAGGAAATATTTTAATATTAGTGCTAAACTTGCATCTAAAAATTTTCCTTTTAAGTTCGTTTGTTTTCTAATGTGGTGTTGTATTCTCTTACAAACTATCCATGTAAACCACGTTTATTATTAGAAGAAGTCCTTCTACATTTACGGAAATATTTTTTTGCTTTTACTTATCACCTACAAACCTATCAATATATCTATACACTATATGCAATCAATTATGTGCTCAGTTGTATTACTACACTCATATACATAAATGTAATTAGTTTGTAACTACGATACACCAAGTTATCAAGATTTCCAAGCCTTGATTCAATTTTCTGTCCTATTCTCTCCATATTTAAGAGCTATTAACCTTATTGCATTAATTCACTCTATTCTAAAAGAAATTGGTTGAGAGTTAACGATCATCTACAACAACAATTTTTATAACCATTTATATTATTTTTTCTAATTTCACTCTCTTTTCTTTTTTCTTGCAATTTTTGACATTTAAATATGTTCTTTGCGTATTGGTAAATAATCCTTGAAATCATCATTCAAGTATTTCCTTTCCTTATATTATAATCTGCAACAATACGGGTCGAAATTTTTTGCCTATTCCTATAGTTCTACTCAAATACTTCTTCAAGATTAATCATATTTTTGGTATTTTCAATGTACATTGTTCTGAATTTTTTGCCATTCAATTTTTCCATCGAAGATGTCGTTTTTTCCTTTTTAGCATTTGCATGATCAATGCCAAGGCAAATTTTCTACAGCTCATTATTCCATACAGTTCGATACTTGACAAACCATACAAATATTATTCAAATATTATTATTTCTTCAATATTTACTGGTTACTAACTTTTAAAATATGATTTTAGGCTGCATTAATTATGGTCTAAAAAGTAAGCTGACACGTTCTACTTTATGAAAAATAATGTCTGATTGTTCGTACGAAGTGAAAGTGTAAATGTAAGACCCAATAGAATTGTGCAGAGTATTTGATGATCGGATTGAACTTCTGTTGTTTGTGTTTTTATGTCATGGCGCTTTGTGTATATTTTGTCATAACTTATCACTTTTTCTGTATTCCACCTTTTAAATTTTTTATGTTCGCTACATCTACGATAACTAATTCAGCATTTATTGCAGCGGCTCTCAAACTGTTTCATTTTGAGAAACACTGAACAATTGAAAAAGTCATTTTTTATTGAATCGCTGGACTGGTGTTGTTATTGTAACCCGCTGGGACCTGCTTGTAAAGTTCTTTTGGGAAGTGTCGAATTGCAAGTGGTCGTCGCTGGCAACGAGTGGCTCCGGGATGTTCTTCGAAGTGTTGTTGTTGTTATCTATTTTTTTTGAATATTGAATATTATAAATATTAATATATTTGAATATTAATTTTTTGTTCGATTTTAAAAAAGTAATTGATTAATCTTAATATGGAGAAAGTAATTTTTCGGTAAAGGTTTAAAACATTTAAAACATTAAACATATAGTTTTATTAAAAAACCTTTAAATATTTTAGATTTTTGGGAATTTCAAAAAAATAATTTATTTACTATAAAAAGGAAAAAAGTGATATTTGTTGGTCTATATTTGTAGGTATTCAATACAGTTATGTTAAAGTGATCCATACACATTTTACTTTTTACTCGATTCACTCGGTTTAAAGAAATACCGATTAATTCCAATAAATCTTTTTAAATGAATTGATATTTATTGTATATAGAAATTAGGTAATATATTAAAATTGAGTGAAATTTTAGTTTTTTTTTATGAGTAGAAGCTCTAATGCGTTAAAACCAAAACTGGACACAGTTAAAAACTAATGGAAAATAATTTAAAAAAATTATATTATTTTATTAATTATACAAACGTTAAGTTTTAAACTATTTTCCTACAAAAGGTTTATATCATTTCCCTTAAAATTGTTTTAAAAATAAAATTGTGAGGCTTTTAGGTTTCACACTTTTGTTTTTGGTAAGTACATTTTTAATTTAATTTTTACATCAATGCTTGCATTTTATTTTAGGTGAAGGTGCTTGTTCACCTTATCGAACTTGGCAAAATGTTTACAAACATCGGCCTTGGGAGCGTATGCGTTTGGACAAAGCGCAGCGGAAACAAGTACAAATTAGTTTTTCATTCATTTTGACATACATGTTAACTTTCATAAAATTCGTTTTAGGTGCTGGGTGGTGAAGTTTGCCTTTGGACGGAACAAGTTGATGAAGGTCAATTGGATAATCGGTTATGGCCGCGTAGTGCTGCACTAGGAGAAAGGTAATACGTCGTATATGTATATATAATACGTATGTAGAAAAACTAAGAATAAACTAATATATACTAACATTTTAGATTGTGGTCAGATCCAGATGATAAGCATGAATTAGATATTGTGCCACAGGATGCATTCAGACGTATTTCAATATTCCGCAATCGTTTGGTGGAATTGGGTCTTAAAGCTGAACCAATTTTTCCAAAATTTTGTGCACAGAATCCTGGCGAATGTATTTGATATTATTTTTAAGTTTTACATCCCGTTAACATTTACTAAACATCCAGTTACAACTATTTTCACTCGCAACCAAAAACTTCTTAACACTCCTTCTTTATTAGTTTGAATTACTGTTTTTGTTAATCATTAACAAGAAATTAAGCCACCTTTTAGAAATACTAAGAAAAATTCAGTTAAGCATATAAACACAAAAAACTGAACAAATGGTTTCCATATTAGATCTTACCACACACACATATATACTTTATATATCACTATATAATAGTAATATTAGTTTTAACTAAACTTGCTTTTATTTTCAAAGCATATTAATTTATATAACTTTCTAAATTTGCATGTTATTTACTTTCATCTTTAGTGCAATTATTAACTGTGTTAGTTTTTTATATAAATTCTCGTTAGTTGTCCATTTTTAAACTGCGATATAAAATTTTAACGCACATTTTCATATTATGTTTTTATTTTACCGTGTATTTTTTTTTAAAATAAAGCAAAAAAAATATTTTTTAGTAAATTATGTAGTTAAAACGAACAATTAATTAAGAATATAAGAAAATTAAATAACAAAAAAATTAAAAACATTTTAAAAAAATATTTTTTTGAGTGATACCAGGTGACCTTAAATAAATTATAAATATTAAATTATATTACAATTAAAATAAAATATAAAAACAAAATGTAAATGTATGTAAGATTTTAGTGCAAAGATAAACAAAAGTTATAAACATATAACATATATTGAGTCATTGGTAGTTTTTTATAAATACCCAAGCTATGACTGAGATTGTGCTGCAATGCAATCAAATGATTAGCTTGTTCCATAATTTTAGCCGCAGTTTAAGTAATCACGCCTAAAACTCATAAATGAACAAAAACAAACCATATTACCTAAGTACTCCATTATACAAAGGATGTGTATTGTTTTGTATGAATTTAAAAATGTAACATTATATATATATATACATATGTAAACATTTATAAATTGTAATATTAAGTTCAGAAAATAGCAAATAGATAAGAAGCAAAATATTTATGACAAAGAACAAAGTTAGTTTTTAAGCAATAGAATTTGATATTATTGAAATTTTAGTGTGCTATTATTAAGTAACTAACTAAGTGAAATATTCTAGGTAGTAATCGATTGTAATATTTTATAATTTTTATTTATCATTTAAAAAAAAATAATTTTTAGCGATAAAAATAATATTTTGTTATTTCTATTTATATTTAGTTTTAATTTCCAACCTCCGAATTTACAAATTGTAACTAAAGTTTTATTCGAAACTGGTTTTTTGTTGTATTTCATGCATTTAAACAAAAATATATCAACATACTAATACACAATCATAACCTCATCAGTTATTGTCGTTAAAGAAACCAAAAAATAATAATTTTTTAATAATCATATTATAGTAATAACATTATTATTTGAGCATAAAATGAAATTTGTTAATATTTGTTAAAATTTTTTCTTATATCAATATCAATATATCAATATTTTTGCTATAAATTTTTTTGTTATTAGTTACATTTATTACATATTTTAGTTACATTTTATTGTTTAAAAAATATTTTCTTTCTTTGCTATATGATTTCAAAAAACTTTTACTATAACAATTTACAATTTAAGTTATATTTTGTTAGATATCTATTCGTAAAATTTTTAGTTCAAACCAAAGCTTTGAATCAGAACTGAATTGTAAATCCAAAGTTGAAAAAAACCGGCATGATAACTCGGTCTTATTTCGGTCTACTTATATACAAAAATTCTTTTATAGTTGTTAAAAGTTTAATGAATAAAAGTTCAAAAGCCGTTTTTATTCATTATTTTTTAACAAGGTTCATATTTGTGTACCTATGAGCGACTCTTTTCTACTCATTATGCTCACAGCTCATGAGTAGGCAATAAACTCTTCATACGATTGCTCACGCTCACGAGCGAGCCCAATTGCAGAGCTCACGCTCGTGACCAAGAGTATAAGCGGAGGATCATAAGACATCATGCGCTGCTTACAAGGAAGTGCTGCATTCTACAAAATGAAAAATATATGGCACTGTTGTTTTATTGTTTCTTTTAATCGTTTTATATTAATTGAATAGTTTTAAATCATATTATATTGTGTTTCGGAAAATTTAAAAATAAAAAAATAAATATTTCAAAGTTTTACATAAATGTAATAAAACAATTTGCTTAGAATGCGAAAAAGAAATGTAATCAATTTTACCTTAAAAGGAAAAGTAATAAAAAGCTATTACCAGTAAGCTGGCTTTTTAGCTGAATTCTCGGATATGAGCAAATTGAAGGCTCACGCTGAGTTGAGGTGCTGAGCCTGAGCCTGAGCTACTCATGAGTGAGTAAATACGAACCCTGTTTGTATTCAATTATATCGTTGACTAAGCTTATTTAAAGGAATAAATTAAATGATTTAAATTATGACGAAAAAAAACTAATTTATTATATAGAATTTATAAAAAAAATATTTACACGATACTGAACCCCAAAAACCAATATAAAAAATTTTTGTTGGACCAAAAATCGTTATAGGTTTTTATTTCTAAAGCATGTATACATGCATGCATAAATTTCAGCTATTGTTTCCAATATATTTATATTAATGGAAATTTTGAAGAGCTTACTAACTCTAAAATAAATAGAATTTCTTTTAACAATTTCTACTATTTAAAGGTAAAATCTTTGAAGAATTCATACACAGTTTTTTTTACTATTCAAAGGTAAAATCTTTGAAGAATTCATACACAGCTTTCTACAATATCTTATTCCAAAACATCAGTATGAAAATCTTGAACAAAATGATGAGATCAAATTTTAAAAATAAATATATTTTTCATAATATTACATAATTCTTTTATCATTTTAAATAGATTTTGAGTTATATTAGCTTAAAATTAAAACAATATGTTACTTAACGTCATTATAATATTTTTTTTAAAGTACTTTAAAAAATACACTTACCAAATGACTTTACAATCTTACCAAAGTGAAGAGTAATAATTAATAAAAGACGAAGTTCTCACATCTACATCATTTAAACATATCTAAGCTAATTATTGATAAAAATATAAGATGGTGCAATAAGGGGTAATATTTTTATAGGTCTTACTGGGATCACGTGGTGTCCTGACGAACCAATTTGACGTAAGTGGGCCAGCTGGCAAATTAAGACATCATCAATTATGCTTACTTAAGTTGACCTATTTACTCCGACAGTTTCATACATTGGTATAGGTGTTTGTAACAATACATTATAAAATTAGTATTGCTCTAAGTCAACGCATTAGTCGGATACATAGTCTTTTCATTGGGTTCTATTTGCAGTTTAAAATCTTGATTGCTAGCATGATTGACTCCATTCGTTTAAAACAGTACGAGCTTACTTCTTCTTCCTTGTTTTTTGTGGATTTCTCTATATGACAATTTTTGTTATATATAATATTAAACTTCAATATAATAAGTGATGACTACTGATTATTTTAATTTTTTTTTTTATTAATACCGATAATTATCACAATTTTATTTAATTGATTCAAAATTATTTAAATATTTGAATCTAACTTATTACTAAAATAATATTTCTCATTATTTTTTAATACTGCAAATATATTTAATACTTCATAAAATCATGTAGTTCTTAACAGAAAAATCAGTTTCAAAAATTGTAAAAATTATAAATTTTAATAAACAAATCAAAATATTTTTATGCATGTAATATATTAATTTACAAGTTTAGTTATTAATTAATAATTATATTCATTAAATTTTAATTTATTTTATTTAAGTTTTTATTAATATTTATTTAATTGTACTTACACAAACCTTTAAATTGTTTATATATGTGCATATAATGTCTTGCAAATTATTAAGTTTAAAATTAATTAATTTTAAACTATTTGAAATTTATGAACAAAAAATATGTTAAAAGAATAATGTTTTTACAAAATACATATTAGCAACAAATTATAATAAATATATATGATATGATTTTGTAAATAAATAATTATGTTAAAAACAAATAGAAATAATCGGTGTTAACTTTATTAGTATTTGATGGAGGGGTTTTGAAAAATAGTGAACTACAACAACAAAAATTATTTTTATATTATTTTAATTAATTGATATTTTAAATATTTTGTTTGAATTTTTGAGAATATATATATATATTTGATATAAAATTATTTAAAAAAATATTTTAAAAATTTTTTGAGTTATTGAAACAGTTGTTTCTTCCACAATAGAAAAATATAAAATTTCACTTTTTTTCCTATATATAATATCACAGCTTTGTATTTATGCAGAAAATCTGCATCTTCGTTTTCTATTAATCTAATTAAAATAATAAATCACCCAAACATACTGAGTGACCACAACATATGTGATTAACTATATTTTAATGTTACAATAGTTCGCTTGAAAGAACTTAAATAACTTTAGAAAACTTCGTTATTTAGATTAGAGGGTAAATGATAACCCATTAAACTGGTCTTCTAAAAGATCTATTTTGAATAACAATAAAACTTTAATTTACAAGATTTATTAAGGAAATATTTTCGTCAAAAAATTTATTTAAACTATTGTTATAGATATTTATTATATATTCATGTATATATATGTATCACACATCTTGTATTAGTGTTGTCTCTCACATTTTAATTTAGCATAACGAAACCAATTCTTAAATTTATTTCTCTTATTTACCTATAATGTAATAAACAATTTTTTTAATAATTTTTGTAATAAGAGTTAGCAATCCTATGATTATGATAACAATACCTATATTACCTCTACAGAATTAACAGAAAAATTGCATATCTTTCCTCAAGAAAACCATAATATGGTAATTTTTTACATTTTTTGATGTCTTAGAAATAGAATAATAATGACAATGAAATGTTAGTTATTTTTTTCATATACTATATTATACTATATTCTCTTTTTAATAACTACATATATTCGTTGAAGTATAAAAGTTTATTCAATAGACGTTCATAGTCAAAATCAATAGGTCGATCAGATTAATAATGGATTTGTTCGTTTTTTACAAAAAAGAGCTATCACCTATAACTTAAGCGTAAATTATTAATAAAGCTAGTAATAATATTACACTTCATATAACTTTAAAAATAAATTTATTTTTTAAATCTTATTATTCAGTGATATGTAGCTAAAACAAACTATTCAAAGTTAATTAAAAGCTATTTATGTATACTGAGTTCAATTCGCCAACTATCTCGGCTA